ACCACGGCTGACAACAATCGAGCGGGTTTTCGGGAGCTACCTTTCGACCAAGTCATCTGCCGGTGCAGCACAATGGGCTCTGTACTGAACAAGAGGAGACAGAACCAGCACAGAGCTGTGTCCATTACGATTCAAAATATTGTTGTGCCACTCTGAACTTTGAAGAGTCCAAATCTAGTTCTATCCTTGCTTTCCTTTCAATGTTGTTTTCCTATACTCGATAAAAGAGAAGATATACTAGAAAGTCTAATTATACTTATATAATCCTATGTTATAACTCGACGAATCGATTTAGACTCGTCCGACTGTCTGCTTTATTGCCTCAATGACTTGGGATCAAAAATCTTCCCTTCTAGTAGGATTACTTTGTTGTTTATAAAGATATTTTCAGCATTTCAGCGTCATTGTTTATTGCGCCTTTGCATATTCTAAAGGTTCATTAAAACCTAACCTAAACTTGATTGTAACGCGGAAAAACCTTCAATGGTTTATTCGCTTAAAATACAATTTTGGTAAATTTTCGATTCTTTAATGCGCTGCAGTGCCATTGGTTGAGATATGAACCATATATATCCCACATATGAGACGGAGTAAAAACAAGTTATTTTACCAAAAACTAAAAATCTGAACAAATCGATCGCGCCACATTTGATCAGAAGATATATACAAGTAGAAGGGGTCTGAAATCTGGTCTTAAAATTAATTGGAATTCCAGAATGATGAGAATCTAGGGCATTGGTATTTGCTGAAGATATCATTTAATAATATTCCAGGAATACTACGCTACAGATTCTATTTGATGAAGACTGCGATAACTCGACTTGTCTAATCCACTGTGAGTGGACAGTTCGAAATTGGGGTTACGGAGTGGTGATGGCTGACCACGAGCAATATTGCAAGCAAGTTCGAGGAAAGTCTTTTCAAAATGTTAAAAATTTAATAAAAGAAAAAGTAAAATTTTGACTGTAGACAATAAACAGTATTTTGTATTAAAATGTACATGTGAAACGAGGCCTGTGGCCTCTTTATGTTTTCAAGATTACATAACTTTATTTTCAGTACGGTTCATAGCCCCTGTTTAGGATTTAGCAGAAAGTTCACACGCGTTTTATGTTTCGCAACCACTGTGCCCCAGCAGATTCAGCTTAGCATACGCACACATGCGAGCAGTCGAACAGACAGACAAACGGGCGGACGGACGGACGGACGGACGGACGTTCAGACAGACAGATGCGTGGGAGAATTGCATTTGTATGAGTTTCCGTTTGTGACGCCATTTTCTTTCACAAGCAGCTGGGGGGAAGGGCAACATTTGTCTCCACTCCGCTCCGCTCCTCACTCTCTGCTGTGCGCTGCTTTTTTGTCTAGCTCTAAATAAGTTTTTCCGTTTCTTGTTTGCATATTTTATTTATGTATTTGTTTTTATTGTATTGCAGGAAAGTATCTCTGTATGTATTTTCATTTCGCTTTGGCGTTGGTTACAGGTTCGGGCTTGGGCTTGGGCTTGAGTTTGGGTTTAGGTTCGAGTTTCGGTTTCGGTTTTCTGGTCTGTTTCGAGGTCTGTTGCGTCTGCTGCCATTTAATTAAATGCATAAAACGAAGCCCCGGGGCTAGCCCGAGCTATAAATGTTATATTAAAAATCATTTTTGTAAAACAAACAAGCCGGCAAACAAGAGAAAAGTGTTACATTTTGTAGCTGGTGGGCGTTGCAACGCCACAAATGATACAACTACAAAAATTATAATACGTGCTGCACTTCACATGCAGTGGAAACAGAGCTGCTGCTGAGGTTGATGTTTATGTTGCATATGGAAAATCGGTCGAGCATCGGTCCCAGGGCTCGGTGGGGCGGTATTATGAATTGTTTTTAATTGCATTGAATTTTCTTGAGGCAAATTGCCGGCAGCGGGCTGTGTGAAATGAAAATGGTGGCATAAAGAAGCGTTGCATTGTAAATGAAAATAACTTCCAAACGACGATGATTAAAAACTTTGGGGACAGTTGACGATGCGGAAAAAGCTGCAAAAAAAGCAACGAGCAACGGCAAAAATTAGGTTAGTAGTTGGTGCTGTGGGATGTGGATGTGGACATGGACATGGATGCTGCACCTCATGCCACTTGTTGTTGCTGCTGCCAGTCTGTGTGTGGTCATATGTGCAATTTGATTAAAAATGGTTGCCAGCAAGAAATTGGTCGTCATGGCAGAGTGACGGCAGTTTTGGGCACCCAACCAACCAAAACCGAAAATAGTGTGTAAATGCCGCAGCGGCAAACAGAATCACTTCATTTCAACAGTGTATGTGTGTGTGTGTGTCTGAGTGTGTCTGAGTGTGTGTGATGTGTGGGGTGTAATGGAACGCAATGGACCGGTAAGCTGAATTAATCAAACGAACAATGACAGCGAATGGGCTGATCAATAAAGTGAGGCCAAAGGAGCGCAAAGCACTTCGCTATTGAATTGAAGCTTGGAAGCGATATCACCTTCAGCTAGGGTCATCGTCTTCCTTCCTGAAGTGGACCCATAGATCTTCAACATAATCTGTGCCGCCTCCATTGAAGTCCGTTGAGTCGAGCTAAGGTCTAACTAACACCAAAATCTACGTCCATTTCCACAAACGCTCTATATTCTGCCTTCAAATTCTTGTAATTTTCGATTTCGAAAGGATTTAAGTAAATGACGATTTTCCTACATAAAGTTAAATTGTTTCTTTTAAAACCGTTTTTGTTACAGTCTAGATACATACAGGGTGCGCCATCTTTTATGTCGGTATGTCGGAATAACTTTGTCATTAGTGAGCCGATTGACTTGATTGATATTGTTTTCAAAAATTAGTCTGAAGAAATTGTACTTGAAAATCGGTTGTTTATTTTCAAAGATATTCAATGTTTACATATAGTACCGACATAAAAGATAGCGCACCCTGTATGTCTGTAATGTGAATATTTTTAATTAAAAAAAAACCTTTAAAAAAAACCCCCAAAAATAAAGAAAAGAAATATCTTTAAAGCAGCAAACGTTTTTCTACTTGTTCTCACATTCCAAGTAGTTTTCTAGAGTTTTAAATTTTTCATCTCATCAATAATTCCTATACACATGCCTTAAAAACCCCAAAACGGCACTACAATAGAGAATATCGTTTTGAAAATACAACTCAGGGCTAGACATTAGACTTTAGTGAATAATATCAGAAAATATTCCTGTGAAGTAGAAATGTATTTTCTTGCAACTGCGAAGGTATCATTTTTAAACATTTTTTAGTTTCCGTTATACAAGTATATATATCTATTATTAATTTGCTTAAGTTTAAGGAGCTCTATATTTTTGTAATTACTTAAAACGTATAAATGATCACATTTTTTATTGCACATCTCTTGCATGCATCTTTGCGTTTCTTTAACTTCTTGAGAAATCCTGCCTCGTTTCTCCATCTTTATTCAGCTGTATTTATTATACTTATAATTCCGACATGCCTTTTTTTATAGCTAAAACAAATTGATTTGGCGAACTCAGGAACAAATGAATATCAACCGAATTCATATTCTTTTTCAAATCTCCTCAGATTTTTAAACGAAAAGGCAAATCTTTGCGCAGAGGTTCGTTGCTAAATACGCTCATTGTCAAAATTCGATTAAATTAAAAACAAATTTGAATGTCCTCTTTCTCTTCCTTTCCCCTTATCTTTCTCTTTCTTTCTTCCCCTCTCTATCTCTTTTTCTCTCTGGCTATTTGAACAACAAAAGTCATATTTTTGTGGTCGTACTCAATAAAATAGCCATGTACGAGAATTGTGCGACACCCAATAGAAATACATATATGCTTAACATATCTAAATACTAGTATTGTCTCGAAGAAATAAAGGCAATGCCATAAAGATAAATATGTTGCTGTGTATGAAAAAGCTTTGCGATTTAAAATTAACAGCCCAATGTCCAAGCTCATTTCCTCCAGCTTTTGCATGTGCTAGCACCAAGTTATTCAACCGAATCCTATAGCACCCAGCATTTGCACCAAACGATACAAGCACATGACTTCAAGTTGTTTGGTCACTTGCAAATTTATATCGTACGGTTTCGAAATAGCTATAAAATTATAATTTTTATTATTTTCGGATGTTGAAAATAAATTACAAATGCTCTTAAAACATCTTTCCATTCTTTTTAAATGTGGCAGAGCAGCCAGTCATTCAAAGGACATACACACTACATATGTATGTGTGTCAATTGTAATGTGAAGATCAGTTTCGTAAAATGAAATAATAATATGAAAATGCATTTTTTTAAAAGCAACAGTAACGTGAAAGCAGCCATTAAATGCACATCTTTTTTTGTTTTCAATACAATTTATTCTTGACTTGTTATACATTCATATATGTGTTTATGTATACTTGTATAAATATACGAATACTAGTGGACCTTGAATTTCAGAATACCCGATGCTTGTAGCGAGCAAAGTGAATGCAAAATTATCGGTAAACTTTTTGTAAATAAACATGGCGACCAGAGTGTGAGACAACTAGACCAAAATGGAGAAAAATTGCTTGTGCGCGAGAAAGAGAGAGAGAGAGAATTTGTGGGCCTGTGAGAGCACGTTGCGTGCAATGCGTGGGAGATATAGGAATGCGCGCGCTTTTTGGACATACAAAACAGGAAGCTTTTGGAACAATTGCACAATGTGGAGTGTAATTATTCCTCGATTGGCAATCAGTGTGACAGGAACAGCGGCAGAAGCAGCAGCAGGAGCGTCAAAAGACAATAAACCCCCGCTGTAGGCAAAGTGAAAACCACATTTTTTAAATTACAACGCAAATAAACGCATAACGAACGCGTGGGGTTGGCTTTGGCCCCTCGACGTCGGCACCGCCAGGGCTGCCAAAACGACGGGCAGACAGACAAGACAGAATTGCGCGTTCGGCGGTGCTCGGCGCCTATTGAGTTTTTAGAGGCACACCATTCATTCAGTTACAAAATTCATTCAGTGTGTGAGTGTTGATGAAGTTAGTTGTTGGCTCTTTGGCGTAAATCGTTCAGTGCGGCAATTACAAAAAAAAAACCCAACCAACCAGCTGAAATAAAAGCCATTTGAAGTGCGTCGTGTTGTTAAAAATGAAGTGCAATATGGAAAAATGTTGAAGTGAGATTTACAAGCAATAACAAAAAAGAAAAACTAACGAAATTTTTCAAAAATAAGGCACGCAATTCTTGTGTTGTCTACAAAAAAAGAAACTGTGTTGCATACTTTTGGGGCTGGCGGTAAATTCATTGTGAACATGTTGGTAAGTTCATTGCATCGGCAGTTGCAGTTAAGTTTCAAATTTATAATTTTCTAACAATTAAAAAAATTTCCAACAAATGATTTATTGATTTTTCCGCAATTCAACGCTTAAGTGATGTATGTATGTGTTTGTGTATGTGTATGTATGTGTGTCTGACTGTCTGACTGTATGCGTATATTTTTCGGTATGCACTTTTTCCAGAGAAACACCCCAGCCAATACCAGAGCGCGCTGTCGCTCCCCAAATAGCAACAACAACAGCTACAAAGAGCTGGATCAACTATTACACAAAGCAAACAACCCCCAAACTAAAAAGCGCCAACTTCTATTTTTCCATCATCAATACTTTCAACATAGACGAGTATATGTATGTATGTGGATGAATGTGTAGGTGTAGGTGTGTGAGTAGGGAGCAGGCGCGCTATGCAGCAACCCCCAATGCACGCACTCACACCAACAAATGCACACACAAACACATTCACACACACACACACACACACACACATAAAAACTCATACTCTTACACGACTAAAACAATTTTTGCCTGCCGCTGCTGCTACTGCTTTGGCATTTTCAAAACTACGGTTAGCGGTGGTGGGTGGTTGTTTTACTCACAAACACACTCACACACACACACTCATGCATAACATAAATTTTGTGTCTATAACAATTTCCGTTGCCGCCTGCCCTCCCCGGGGCCAACACTTCAAAAAACTGCAAAGGAATTGCAGTTTTGCCAAAAGTTTAAGCTGTGCTCTCGCGCTCTCCTGCATAACGGCACACAACAACAACAGAGGCGGCGGCAGCAGCGCTCGCTCTCTTTTAACTGTGAGCTGCGCTTTTAGCATATGTGAGAGTTCATATACGTATGCTGCTTTGTTGTTGTTGCTGCTGCAGCAGTTTTCTTTAATTCTTTGACGGCTGGCTCGAGTTTGTGAAGTGGGTGGTGGGTGGCAGCGGGTTGCATTGCATATGGTTTTGCTTTTATGCAACATATGTGGCATGCTACATGTGTTAGTGTGTTGCATGCGTATGTGTGTGTGCACATTTCATTATATAATTTGTATTTTATTATTTTGCTGATGAATATTGTATGGCAAACTAAAAATTTTGGTTTTTTGTTGCTAGGCAATGCAGTGGGTGGAAGGGCGGTTGATTGTTGAGTGTGCGTGCGGACATACACATATACAAATATACTACATACATATGCATTTGCAAATGTACAAACAGTACTGAGCCAGAGAGCTGTGGGCATAGAAACATACATATGTACATATGTATGTATGTAGATATGTATGAATCAATCAGATTTTGTTTAATGCAAACATTATATAATATGCAAGCTATGTATATATGTATGTACATACATATATACACATGCACATATGCATGCATTTATTTACTTGCGTATATGCATTTATATAATTGGCATTTCGCATTTGCAGTCGTAATTGAATCTAATCCTGCAGAGAACTCTATAAAGCACTTAAATAGTTTTTTGTGTATCAAGATATAAAATCCCCCTGACACACACATATCATACATATAATCGTAGTATGTATGTATGTATGTATGTACATATGTATTATACTAGCAGCTTCAGTCCGTCTTCGCTGGGTTTTTTATTTTTGCTTATAATTCTAGATTTATTTACTATGTCTCTTCCCGAGTTGTGCTCAGTTCCAGAAAGGTTGCTATAGGAACTACGCAGTAGCAGATTTTTTTGCTAGGTACCGAAAGCTTTAGCTATACGTACATACATACTTACATAGGTAATTCTTATTTTTTAATACTTTATTATTATTTCTCGTTAGGGCGACACTTTGTTTGCCCAAGTTTGACGATATTTAAGAAAGAGAGAGAAAAAGGCATAAACCAATTAAAATATGATGCACATATGTACATACATACATACAGACATATCGCTGTATGTGAATGCAATCACACAAAATAATAATAATTTATAGGTAAACAGAATTTAAATATTGTACGTACATATTGTATTGTGCGTACTTACACATACATACATTCTCTTGGTTAAATAAAGATACATTGTATTCCACTGTGAAACATATTTATAAACACTTAACGAAACAAAAAACAAACTAAAATGTTGCGGCACTGCAATTGATTTTACATTATCCATATATGCGTATATACATACACACATAATAAGCACATAAACGTGTACACACATAGCACATACATATATACGTGCAGATCGCGCAGCACCCCAACTTGTAACAAAATGACAAATAAGACATTATTAAACACTCATTTTTCATTCGTGATTAATACACACAACTTGTGCATTATTTGAATTATATTTATTGTTTAATTTAAGCCTTTTATAATAAGTTATAACACTTTCAACGATAAACGACGCGACACGCACATCATCCCGCGCAAAACTAAGCGCCGGCCCTCATTTGTCAGCAGAGCTCTCTGTAAGAATGCAGAAGTGAAAGCAAAGAATCAAAAATCATAGCTGTAAATCAAATTATGCGATTGGCATATTGTTATGGGCGTAGCAAGGATCGCAACAAAGGGGATATAATATATATGTAATAAATTGTCTTTAATATTAAATTTTTCGAAATATTAAATAAGAGTTATGTTTATTTTTATAAATCATTAACTCCCTTTAACTGCATAAACTTAATATTAATTTCGGTAAAGCTATTTAATTTTTTTTACTCTTTCATATGGTTTGCATGTTTGTACATATTTACATTTATTGTTTTCGGTCATTATATTTTTAATTTTTAATATTTAATTAAGAAATATGTATATACATATGTATATTGAAATATCGTATATTAACCCTTATTGGTATCCTATCTACAACCATGTTTATTAACTGTTTGCTTTGCTTTGTCTTCTATTTTTTTGCTGGCACTCTCATCTTAAAAGAGAGCAACGACTACGAGAGAGTGTGTATGCAACAACGAAGATAGGTTTTTGTTTTGTTTTAACTGCTGAGCCGCTTCGCGTCACTTGTGAATGAAACATGAATAAATGTTTTAATTCTTCATTTATTTAAGGATTATTTAAGTATATACCGTTAAATTAAATTAAATTAATTAATTAATTAAATTACATTAATAAATGTGTCGGGATTTTTGGATTCTTGTTATACTCTGTACATGAAATGTACACGAGTATATTAGGTTTGCGGGAGCTGAAAAATGTAACAGGCAGAAGGAGGCGTGGCAGACCCCACAAAGTACATATGTACATACATATATTCGTGATCAGCGTGACAAGACTGTCTGTCTGGCCGTCCGTCCGTATGAACACCTGGATCTCAGAGACTATAAGAGATAGAGACACCAAATTTTGCCAAAAATGCCTTATGTGTACGCTCATATAGGGCTTGTTTTATTTTTTTATTTCCCCCCTTCCCCCGTATGGGGGTTTTCCCGGTATTCCATTCGTATAATCGCCTATATCTTGGAAACTATAAGACTAAGGAATACCAAATTTTAGTCTAAGATGCCTTATGTGAATACGCAGAAAATGTGTATTTTGGAAATTCCCTCCCTCCCCCCTCTCCCGCGCAAATCGTAACTCCCGTAATTCTTGGAATTTCGAACTAAAATTTTGCAAACCCCCCAGTTAGTGCTTATGTGTCCGTATGCCAGGAATAGAAGCGCATAGACATTCATACACCCACATAGATGCAATTGCTTTGTATATGTGCAATTATATACCCTTTACGTTCGAATACCGAGAGAGGTAAAATCGATCCACATTTTTTTTTAAATGTTCTTAATAATTGTAATCTGTTTTATTATTCTAAACATATGTACAGAGTATTTCAAAGTCGGGACAGCCGATTTTAGCTTTTTTATTACTTGTTTTACGTTGTTAAATGCAGATGCACTTATTTTAACCTGCTTTATACAAGTATTGTTTTGCACATTTTGTTAATTAAAGAGAGATGTAGGTAAATTATTAAATTTTCCGCACACATATTTTTTCGCCCACACATGCCATGACTGTTTTGTGGGGACATGTGTATCAATAACTTAAGTCAAATTTAATATTGACAGCTGCGCCCTGCAAATGAGAAGATTTGAAATGATTTGATCACCATCATCAGTCACTCAAGAGCAACTGTTTTTTCATCACTAAGTTGTTTTTATTTGGTAAATCAGTTAGATTTGAGTTGAAATCGAGGTTGAGGTATCACTTAAGTTACTTTTTTAAGTACTCTGAGATTTTACATCATGGCTAAACAAAACAACTATACCTCTTCTTCTCTTTATTGTCCTTAATTTAGATTTCTTGGAACGTGGTTATGTTCTATTTGATATTTATTAATAATTATTCATTATCAAGTCGTCTGGAGTATTGAAGGATTCCCTAAACTCCTATTGCCTTTTTATTCCTCAGTTAAGTTGTATGCAGATGCGACTAATAAGTTCGACTTGTAACCAAAATGAAATCTACGAGTTTGAATAGAGAAGTGTAAAGGCAACCAGCCTTATGTTAATTTTGGAATTAGGTATTCCTCTCTGAGCAGCAACCAATCAAAGATACTAGGTGGGCAGTTGAACTAACGAACCGGCCATTTCCTGTTCATTGAATTTTAATATTTAGCCATGACTCAGTAAGAGCCCAACCGCGAAAAAAACCACCGTCGACTGTACCCTGCACCACAATTCACACACCTCACAACACACAAACACAGACATACACACACCGCGATAGAGAAAATGCGGCCCACCCACACCCACACCCACGCCCACGCGCAACCGTGCCAAGCGATCGCAAGCATTGCGCATGCGTGGCCGGTCCCACATCAGTTTACGAGAATTTGACGGCGACGCCGACGCGCCGCCATGTTGAACGAGAGCGAGTGAGGGCATGTGGAACCACCCCACAGTGGTTGGTTTGTTGCTTCACATGTGATTACACGATTTTACATGTGAATAGAAGTGGGAGAGCTCTGTCTGCATTTTGTTAAATGAGACGTGTCGAAGTGCAGCGAAAAGTAAATCGCAGGTCCCCTGCTCTTAGGACTTTTGAGCTGGCGCCCAAATGAAGCCCTATATAGGGCCCCACAACACTTTCTCCCACCAAAGAAGGGCTTCCAAGGCAACAGGTTTCTTTCTGTTTTGTTTCTCGAAGCCATGTGTACGGGGATTTTGTAATTGGCTTACTCATTATGCAGCTTTTGTTATATCATAAGAGTGATGTCCAAGGATGAGTCTTGGACTTGGTCAGTGGCAGACATCCGGCAAAGATTTCCAAGACGTTCCATTGCTCGGCAGCTGTTGCTGCATTTGCTTTCCGATCGCTGTGGTTTTTGTTGGTGGTGCGCCGGCGGCTTTCCTTGGCTAGCCAGTGGCCCACATGTTGGTCGGCTGCTGGAAACCGGTTCGCTCTGCTCCTTTTGCTCTTGCACACGAATCTGACGTTCGACAGCGAGATCGAGTGGCAATGAAGCTAAAGTAGGGTGCTCCATTTCAATGGGTAACCTGTTTTGCGTTGCGCTGCACATATGAGGTCTCTTTGCCTTTCTAGAATGACTTGGAAGGAGACTACATAAAGTCTTGTTGGTGTTCTTTCTGGAGGTTTTGTTTCGATATATTTAACTGTGTTGATCAGTTTTTTACAGTTATAGGTACTCGTAAAATCAATTTAGTTTTGCTTTTAATTTAATCGACTTAATATACATACATATGTATGTATATTTATATAAGTATCTGATTAAGTAATACTATATTTATATATGTATGGAAATGTAAAGGGCATTGTCGGGTCGACCTAAGCGGGAAATCACATTATGAGTGTTTGCGTCAGCCATCACAAGACTCTTGCACATCACCCTCCACCCACCCACCGGCGAGCTGCCAGTTGATGGCTCATAATGTTGCGAAGGCAAAACGAGAAAGAAGCAGCAAAAGAGGAAGAGGTGGAGGTACTGCAAAATGTTGCACTAGCGCGAGCAGTCGTTGATTTCCAGCCATTGATTCAGTTTAACTTTCAATTTCATTGATTTGTTGTTGTCGCTGCTGTTCTTGTTGTTGCTGTCGTAGTCATCGCATGCGTTGTTGCGTTTTAATGCCGCTGCACAGGTACATATTTTTAATGACAGCTCTATAAGTGACGCTCTGGTCTTTCCCGCATGACTCACGATAAGCAAAGTTTATTGTTGAAAGGTTAAGTTAGGTTTTCAAGTACATCCCAGCTTTAATTAAAGTCTTGTGATCAAGCTAAAAGCAGCGCCACCCAAAGACCAATTTACCTGGCGACCTCACCTTATCTATCAAAGTACCTACCTACCTGGGCCATGTATCAGCACCCTCCTTTGGGCCTTAAGTTTCTATATACACACACCCATACAGATATGTTTATATGTGTGTAGCACATAACAAAACCCAAAATGCCGCGCTCGCTAATGAACAGCGAAGCAACTCTGCCGCCGCCAACAACAACCCACATACCCGAAGATCATTACCAAACGAACGACCACCGACCGATGCCGCTAAAAAAAACGCGCAGCAGCTACGAAACAAAATCAAGTTGAGCCGCCGCACAGTGGTTCGCAATAACGTTTCTCCGTGACAAAAAGCTGTTTCCAATAGCTTGATATGAAAATGAATTACGACTCCAAAGTGGTAACTCCCAAAATTTGATGGATAATTCAGTCCACAATGAGGAATGCTTAGGATGTGGCAACGTAATTGTAATCCTTTTTACAGCCATGTTATTATTTCGTTTATTTAAAGTTAACTGTTTATTTAAAGTTAACTGTTCCTGTGATAGAAAAATAAATTTGCATTAAAATCCTATTCGTTTTAAAGAAATAAAAATATATGTTAAGGGAGCCTACACAAGCTGATACATAATTATGGAGTTATGCTCATTTTTCCCACTGTGCGACGCCGCGCCACCGCTCCCACGTAGCTGAAACTGACCTGCTTCTGCGCAGCCGCGGCCGCTCTTTCGCTTTACCACCGCCTCATCCACTTTGCCCAAAAAATATTCTACCCAAAAGTAAAACAGAGCCACCCTACGCAACAAGCGGCGGCGGCGGCAACCAAACATACACACACACGCGCGGATACATGCAGTTCTCTTCGAAACAGTCTCTCTCTATCTCTCGTTTTTGTTTCGCTCTCTGCGTTGGCGGCCAACACAAAAAAAACGTGAATGAGCGGGTGGCTTGCCTTGCCACCGACGCTTGTTTGTTGCAATTTCTCTTTTGTACGATCATTCGCTGTGTAAGGTGGCCGGCTGCGCTGCTTTGTGCGTTTCCTTTCCCTTCGTTTTGTTTCGTTTTTCCATCCATCGGCAGCAGTAGCGGCAGCTAATACAACAACAACAGC